TGGGTCTCTGCCATAAGTGTCTATTTTGTATTTTTTTAAACACACACACACACACACACACACACACACACACACACTTACTTGCTGTTTATAACTTTTTTGTTTTTTGCTATTTTCATTATGCATGGTGCTGAGGTGCTTGCACAGAATGTAGTAATAACAACTCCGTATATAATTTTAGTACAGTGCTGCTCTCAGCGACTGCAAAGGACCTAAAGCCACCAGGCTCAGAGATGCAAAAACACATGGCAGTGGAAAAGCTGCTGCAGCAAAACCATGTCTAGGTTTTTCCAGCTCTCCAGCAATACGGATCCGCTTGACCCCCCTGGCACCTACAATTCTAGCTCAACCATACTCTATTTTTAAACAGGTCAAGTAGGATGCCTCCCCCCGCATCCATTCCTATAAATTAGATTTGTGTCATAATGCATCATTAAAATCAAATGCAAACATTGCAGAACAAACAGAGAGGTCTATTTAGAACAAACCACCGAGGCAGAATGTCCTTTTGCCCATTTGGCAGCACAGTGCAGCAATTTGGGTCATACAGACCTTCATTGTTCTAACCCAACGTCAAAGCATTAAATAAGAGTTATTGACACCTTCCTTCACTGCAGAAACTACATGGTTGCCCCCAAAGTGTGGGGGGAAATGAAAGAACCCAAAGCAAAGCCCCCTTATCTGGCACTGCCTCACCAGGTGAGGTAGCACTTAAGACAACACTTAAGAAATTATTTGGCAGTGAATATGTCCTAAAAGTACAAACTGAGTAACTTAAATATAAGAACACCTACGGAAACAAGAGTTTATGACCAAACGAGCCTCTTTTTCAAAGAAAATATTGTGCATTAAAAATAAAAGGACCGTATTAGCTTTTAAACACATAAATATGGGTAGACAATGCATCAAGAGGCCATGTCTGTTTGCCTTTGAAGCTTCAATACTTCTCACTACAGCAATTTTTTTAAAAAAATAATTTGATCTGGTAGCTTTAGTATTTACACTGCCCCCTCTGCCCACTGGAAAGTACTAAACTGCATTAAACAAAAAATAAGAAAGGGCAGGTTATTAGCGTCGTGGCTGGCTTCTTTTCCCTTCGCAGCTAAGAGAGCCTTTGCTCCTTGAAACTGTGCTCAGCAATCCCTGTTGCTTAGAGTAGCATCTGCTCCTTTAAGTCAGCTATGCTCATCTACAGGTGTCCCCAGAAGTGAAGGTCATGCATGACTCTAGCAGATGTCCCTGCATTATTTATGTGAGCTGCTCTTCAGAGCTGTGTGGTGCTTTTATTTTACTGTCCTCACATATTTCGTCAACAATTCAGATTGATTACCCTCACCGACACGAACCCTGTAGTTTGACGATTATGGCAAATTAAGACCCTTCTTCCTAAGTGTTAATTTTATTTACTGTGATGATTTGTACTTCATACAAAAGCAACATCCGTATTATTATTATTATTAATTATTATTATTTTGCTCTTGAGGAAAAGGCTTCGTTTCTTATCCTCTGCTCCTCTTCCTTCAGATGATTTCCTAATTAAGGCTCAGCTTTCAAAAGCATTTAATACTTGGGGGGGGGGCGGTCTTAAAAGCACCTGTCAGGAATATTCAACAGTATAAGAAAAACACAAATGATAAAACGATGGTGCAAAATGGGATCATTGTTTTTCTTAAAGCCCAGTCCTGCGGCTAGAGAAAAGAACTGTTTTGTACATGAAATACTGGCTGTCATACCACTGCAAGATCAGTGAGTTGTCAGCTAAGCAGGTTGCAACTAAGCAGTCAACCAGAAATAGCCACTGTGGCGCTTGAGTCAATGCCAGGATCACACAACACTGTTGCGCCACACAGAAATGGCATGTGGTGGACAGGGAACGTCTCACTCGTTCATCCTTTCTACAGGCATTTGTGTCACCATGGAATTATCACGACTGTACATACCATATTTTTCGCCCCATAGGACGCACCGCCCTATAGGCCACACCTAGTTTTTTTGGGGGGGGGAAATAAAGAAAAAAAATTTATTTCCCCCCAAGGCCGGGCTCCGGAGGGTCGCACAGAGCTGCGCGGACCCCGGGAGGGCAGGTGGCTCTGTGCGACCTTCCGGAGGCCGGCGCGGCTTGGCGCCGGGCTCCGGAGGGTCGTGCAGAGCTTCCTGAAGCCTGGAGAGCGAGAGGGGTCGGTGCGCCTCTCGCTCTCCAGGCTTCAGTGAAAGCCTGTATTCGCCCCATAGGACGCACCCACATTTCCCCTTCATTTTTGGAGGGGGAAAAGTGCGTCCTATAGGGCGAAAAATACGGTAGCTTTGGAATCAGGGAGTTGATTGCTTTTCTTCTTGTTGAATTGCCCCAAGGTCATATTTAGCAAAACCTGAAACTCTTAAGACGCATCATGCATACAACCAAACAAACGAACCAAAGTGCCTTGAGGCAGCTGGATGCTTCCATTAAACAAACAAACTCATATTTATTTAAGTATTTTTATGGCCCAAGATTTGTGATGCACCGGTCTGGAACATTTCTATTTAAAACAATAATTAAACTGCCAAAAATATTTATGAGTTACCATATTTCAGTCCACTGCAACATTCAGGGACTGGGCTACATGATTCAAGATGGGTTCCAATGTAATAATGTATATTCAAATAATGGTCACACAATGAACGCATGCAGACAGACAAATCATATTGGAATAAAAGATCCATAAAATGGGTTTAGCCCAGTGGATCCTTTTATTAATGACCCTGGAAAATTTACACTGAAAAACCCATTTGAACTTAGCATTCTTATGTATTTGTCCTTACAGAATGACACATAAGAATAATGAATGAAAGAATACAGCCCTTAAGGGATATGGATTCTAGTGTGCAGTCTGCAACAGATTTTCTGAGTAATTTCTGCCATGTTTGTTTAATCTCCGCCTGCTTGGTTCTAATTTATGACAGAGTTCAAACATATTTATTGAAAAGTTTTTATGAATATGAGATCATTGAATGACACCTTGACTGAGCATAGCTCAAAAAACCACTTCTCTCAGAGCTCTTGACAGTACATAATACATACATCATTTTCTTTGTATGTCACCTTTCCATAGTTAAATCCATGCTCAAGGCTTACAACATGAAATATATATATATATGTAATTACAAACATAACAAAATGAGTCATAAACAATAAACAAACAATAAATAAAATACCAAAAAGTATCAATAACAGCCATTCTATGGATGCAGACATGTTACAATAGAACTGGCCAAAGTGATATGAATTCTAGAACCAAGATATATTTTAAAGGGCTAAATGTTATTTATTTATTTATGTTCTTAGGCACATACCTCTAAAAATAGACTCAAGGCCATTTACAATACGAAAGTACAGCAATATAAAATATGCAAAATTCAAACAGCCATACAATTGCACTGACAATTAGTGGATACATTTCTAAGAATACACCACCGCCTCCACCCCCCACACCCAATACCTATATCATAACCAAAACAGACATAAGACAGCAGAAAAATGCCTGGGAGAAGACAGCCTTTGCCAGTCACTGAAAAATATATTAACGTCGGCACCAAGAATATAGCTCTTAGTAACAATCCAAATATAGCTATTAGTAACAATATTTATTTACATGATCGATGGTTCTTTTTATCTTGATTAGAATCCCTTTATTAATTAGATTAGAAGCCAAAGGAAAATCATTGTGTCTATAAAACAGCTTAAGTACACAAATCATAAATAACCTACATCCTCCTTCAAAACAGCGACTTTTTTCTCTGTTTGCATTAGCATTCCAAACACCTACATCTCTGGATGCATTAATACATTTTGTCCTGAAGACAGTAAACAAGAATTTGCTTGGCATAAATAAACCACTTTGCATCTTCATACACACTGTTACTATGCAATGCTAAAAAACAAGGCTTTTTGTTGTTTGTTCCTTCCATCTACACTTCTGCAGGTGCCACAGGACCAACCAAACATAGACAACAAGAAGGATGAAGGAAACAGAGGGCACCCGGGCTCACATGTCGTCATGTGAAGGTAAGCTGTGCCCAGGGAGGAGATCTCAGCTGTTTAGCTCCTTCTTGGTTGGTTTTGCTGTTGTACAATACCAAGTTGTGCAGTGGCTGAACAGGTCATCCAAACCTAGGCTCGTAGTTTAGTTCTTAGCTACAGTATGTGGCTAAGGAAGAGAGAGCTTAATCACCAGTTCATGATCAGACAACACTCAGTGCAGCATGGCAACAAAAGGGACAAGCAAAACAGCTGCAAGCTCCTTTCCAGGAAATCACATGTTCACACAGATCATGTGAACAGGCTCCCTGTGCATTCCAAGGCCATCTTTTCTTTTCCATAATGGACACGTCATGCATCTGTGCGCACAGTAATCTCGCATCTAATGCTTTGCATTTAAGCAGTCCTTTTCCTTCACGTGCGTCGTACTTTAAGCAAGTGTGTCTGAGTTTAGTTTTGTATAGTGTACCTTTGCTTCCGCTGTTATAGCATAGCTTGCTGGTATGCTTTAAATTTACAAAGGAAGAACACAAACCTTGGCTACGATTACTGGGAACAAGCTCTGAGCTTGCAACTTACCCGTTTGGAGGACTCACTCAAATCACAATTTGCCAGTTCAGATGTAGCTGCAAACTGTGATTTGATCAAACTAGAAAGTACAGTGGTACCTTGGTTTCTGAACGCAATCCGTTCCGGAAGACCGTTCAACTTCCGAAAGGTTTGAAAACCAAGGCACAAAGGGTGGTCTGCAATTTCAATGGAAAAAAATGGGTGGTTGGACTCAGCGGAAGCCGATCCGACTTTTGAAGCATGTTCGAAATTGGAAGCATTTACCTCTGGGTTTTCAGAGTATGAAAACTGAAACGTTCGGCTTATGGGATGCTCAAAAACCGAGGTACCACTGTATTCTACTAAGTAAAGTGTGTGATTTAGCAGGGAGCGGAGAGACACAAGAGAACAGAATTAATTCCTGATCTTTAAACCATGGATAGCTCAGCTGGTTAGAACATGGTGCTGACAATGCCAAGCCTGCGGGTTCAATCCTTGTATGGGACAGCTGCATATTCCTGCATCTCAGGGGGTTGGACTAGATGCTCCTCAAGGTACAGTGGTACCTCGGGTTACAGACGCTTCAGGTTACAGACTCCGCTAACCCAGAAATAATACCTCGGGTTAAGAACTTTGCTTCAGGATGAGAACAGAAATCGTGCAGCAGCGGCAGCAAGAAGCCCCATTAGCTAAAGTTCAGGTTAAGAACAGTTTCAGGTTAAGAACAGTTTCAGGTTAAGAACAGACCTCCAGAATGAATTAAGTTCTTAACCCGAGGTACCACTGTACTTTCCAACTCTTATGATTCTAGGACTGAAGAATCAGAGAAGAAGGTGTCTGAATGAAGCCTAAGTATGCAATCTTGATTAAACATTGTAAAAAGTGATTTGCCAGATCAAATCAAAGTTCTCCTCCTTTAGTACTCTTTGCAAGAAACCCAGTGACTAGCAGGTATTAGGTGGTTCACCTGAAATCAAACAGTAGTCCAATGGTGGATTGCTATATACCTTCTGCCAACAGCTGGGATAGCACACATCATAAATCACTAACTAGCTCCCTGATCTAACTAATAATTGTTCAGGAGCAAAAAATCTATTTCCCCCTTAAAAGGCTGCTATTCTGATTATAAAGGAATGGTGGGGAGCCTCCTGCAGTAAGATGGGCAAAATAATTGTGCCTAAACGATAAAACAAACCCATTTTAAATCACAAATGCTTAATCTGTCTTTGAATTGCTAGAGCAAACTCAGTTTAGTGGACAATGCTGAAGTTCTCAGTTCTGCAAAATTACGGCCTCAGGACTCTGATTGAATATGCAGAACTGGCAAAGCTGATGGGGAAGATCCGAAACCAGAGCGACGAGCTGTTTGAAAAGGACTGGAGTAAATGTATACAATATATGAGAGAACACTGTAAACATTTGAAAAACTTTGCAGGTTTGAGTTAAAATATTTTGTAATGTTAATTTTTGGAACTGGTTAGCAATTATCAAGGCAAATTTTATAAGTATAGAAAGAAGGTAAATAAGTTGATATAGAAATGCTAAGATGAAAGTGAATAATTATGAAAGCTGGTGGGGAGTAAAGGCTCAGGATGAGCAAAGTTTCAGATGATGATAAGTATGGATTGTGACTATGGTAAAAAATTTAAACTTAATAAAAATTATTCAAAATAAAAATTATGGCCTCAGGACTCTAGAGGAAGAGTTGCTCAACAACAACAAATTCCCAAGACTCTTCTGACAAAATTAGGAGAAAGATTAAGAGTGCACAAGTTAGGGAGTTTGTTGAAATGCATTCTGATTTTGCTTCTCCAATAACATTGATCGTCTTTATTTGTCTGAATTCTACTTTGAATCATTTGGCTACAGAAGATGGTAAGCATCACTGAGCCAGTACTTTGCTTCTTAAGCACATGAACACTGCACAGCAAGACATCATTTTCATTCTTATATTTGTTCACCTCTTTCTCAAGCACACTGGGATGGATCTGGACTTCATGACGCTTAGAGTAGACCCACTGAAATAAATGAAACTTAATTTAAACATTTAAAGTCCCACTGAGTTATATCCAGTTGTACTCAAGGGAAGTGGCCCACCCAAATTAATGAGCCTAAGTTAGTAATGTATATTAATTTCAACAGGTCAACTCTGAGTAGAAAAAAAACACTGCATACATTGGTTCAATAGGTCTACCTAAGCACGACAAAGTCTGGATCCAATGCACACACTCCATTATCAACCATACAGTATACTGGGCTCCTAAAGCAAGTTTTGTAAAAGTCTTATTTGAAAACAACAACAACAACCCAGAATTCTATCTTCCCTAAAATCCTTTTAAGCCCTGCATTTTCAAGCTGTGCCCTATTTATAGAATCACCAGATGTTACACATTTTCCTGATCGCTTTCTGGAGGTGATGTAGGACATCTTTATTTTTATATAGGCCAGATGTTTGGTGGCAGGTTGTTTTTTAGCACTGGCTTATTTTACCAATAGTTTCATTTTGAAAATATTGTTAGGTACCCTGAGCCTATGGAATAAATAAATGCAAAAAGGAACAGCATTACCATATAGTCCTGGGAACACAGGACTCAATTATTTTACATCTTGAGTTTACTAAAGAATCACAGGCTCTTCAAGCTAGTGCTTTACTGCAATCCAGTGTATAACTATAGCCATGTGTTGGTATTTTAAATTGTTCCAGTTAATTAAAATTTCAAAAATTAAGGACAATAGGAGGACCCGTATACTCAAATCACCTGTCCAAATCTTTTAAGCGGAATAAAAAGAAAACCACAATTCTCTTTTTTTTGCGGTAACTGTGCAGCTGCAACACTGCTGAGAAGTGTGTTCTATGCCATTCCAAGATTAAGCATCACAGGACAAAGAATCACATTGATGTCTTATACACGTAAGGAACAGAAGTCCATTTATTGAAGAAAAGATGCAAATAAACTACCAGTCTTCTCTTTGCAACCCCTCACGTATGCCCCTCGCACATTTCCAATTTCTATTGAAACACACAAAAAATGTTTTACCCACCAAGCGACAAAAAAAAATTTCCTGCACTATATACTATATATACGATCTACTAACAGCAAATTCACTTTCCCAGAACAGATTTTTATGGAGCTATAATGGCACAAAGAAGATCAAACCTATCCATTCTTAAGGAAATCAGCCCTGAGTGCTCACTGGAAGGACAGATCCTGAAGCTGAGACTCCAATACTTTGGCCACCTCATGAGAAGAGAAGACTCCCTGGAAAAGACCCTGATGTTGGGAAAGATGGAGGGCACAAGGAGAAGGTTAGGACGACAGAGGATGAGATTGAGTGTTCTCGAAGCTACCAGCATGAGTTTGACCAAACTGTGGGAAGCCGTGAAATACAGGAGTGCCTGGTGTACTCTGGTCCATGGGGTCACGAAGAGTTGGACACAACTAAACGACAAAACAACAACAACAACATAATGGCACAACCACAAATAATTTGGAGGTATGATCAGGCATGGAGACAGGGAGAGAACCCGAAGGTTTCTGGAAGTGCAAATAACCTTGGGGGGGGGGATTATCTGATTGTGAGGCAGGAGGATCCCCAAAACAACCCAATGAGGACTGAGCATTGTTAGTGACATGGAATACTGACTGTTTTGCAGAAGAAGTACAGAAAACCAGGATGGTGGTAGTGGAATGGAGTATCCTGGGAAATGGCATGGCTGGGTAGCACTGCATGCCTATATTGTTGTTGCTGTTTGCATGCAGGATCAGGAATAGTTTTTGAGGACAAACTTGCAAGCCCCCTCTTACATGCTTACAGTGATCCAGTCCCATATAAACAGCCTCTGTGGTGCCAGTGTGGTGTAGTGGTTAAGAGCGGTAGACTCGTAATCTGGGGAACCGGGTTCGCGTCTCCGCTCCTCCACATGCAGCTGCTGGGTGACCTTGGGCCAGTCACACTTCTTTGAAGTCTCTCAGCCCCACTCACCTCAAAGAGTGTTTGTTATGGGGGAGGAAGGGAAAGGAGAATGTTAGCCGCTTTGAGACTCCTGAAGGGGAGTGATAAAGCGGGATATCAAATCCAAACTCTTGTTCTTCTTCTTCTCTTAAGTCATGCAGGAAGCGTTTTTTAATTAATTTTAATTCCGAAATTGTTTTTTCTGCGATTTCAAAATTACACCTTACTGGGTTGTAAGTCGCTTACTGAATAAATAACAATAAGCAACAACACCATGCTTCAGAGAAAACAAACAATTAAACTGGTATCCAACTCCTACTCAAAGAGTACAGCCGCTGAAATTCAACAGACATGCACTGCTTTGGTTCACCAGCTAAAACTTGCTGACGATTTTGTAACTTTTTGGTTTATCTGCCTGTCAGTGTTTGGAATTTGCTTTATTCTGACAGACCAACACAGCTGCAAAGCTCTTATAAATAGACCAATTCATTTTAAGCTTCATTTTTCTCGCTTTTTTTGAAGGGGGGGGTGTTCATTGCAAAACAATGAATTCTCAAACCAGTCAATTTCTCTTGCATTCTTCATAGATTGAAGATAAAATACAGTAGCTAGGTGGCTTAAATGAGTGTCTCTCTCTCTCTCTCTCTCTCTCTCTCTCTCTCTCTCTGTGTGTGTGTGTGTGTGTGTGTGAACTCTACCAACAGTAAGGGCTGCTATACTGCCCCTGGAATCAATGTCCCAGCTTAATAATGCATTTGTTCCTCTCACCAGCTGACCACCGCCCCCTGCCCCCCGTTTCTGCCTAGGCATAAAAAATTCTGGGACTGGTGAATCTTAAGAGAGCATATGCAAAAGCAGATATCTCTCCTTTTCAATTATAATTGCACAAGCACACTATCTGTTCCAGAGATGGCCCTCGCTCCAGAAAGTCCACACAAGGACTGGGAAATAGGTATGGAGCATTTTTCATAAAATATCCTGGAGCATGAGCCACAATTCAGCCTACTTTTCCCCATCATTGTAATGGGTAGAGTGTCTTCTTCTTTACAGAAGACAACCCCTTACCCCAAAGGAGCCTTTTGTTTGTTGGAAGAACACTCTGGTCCACATCCCTGTTTAAAAATAAAGAACCACAAGGAGAGAGAGCAGGAGCTTTGAAGTTGCCTATTGGGCAGCAGTCAGAGTATCACAGAGTTGGGACCATGAGGATCATTCTAGTCTAACCCCCTGCAATGCAGGAATATGCAGCTGTCCCTTACAGGGACCACAGCTTGTGCAAGGCAACAAATGCACAGATTGCCTCTGTGCTTTAGAACAGTGCTTCTCGAACTACCTGATGTGGCAGAGCTGTAACTGGCCTCTAAAGCATCCCGCCAAACCTGAGCTGTGGTGGAGTCACCAGGGATCAGCAGCTGATGTCTCATGGATGAGCCCTGGTCTGTGGACCACCACTTTGACTAGCCCTGCCCTAGTACCCTTTGCAACCCACAGGTGTTTCCCAGATAAGTGACGTAAGTTTGCTCAAAGTATGGTATGATTGATTTGTATTC